CTCAGAAAAGTAGTAGATCGTAGATCAACAATTGGGTATACCGACAGATGAGCTTGACATAAGGGATAAATTAAAGAAATACAAGAAAATAGTTTTATTTGAATTAGTTTACATTCACATCAAAAATTGAACATAGCCTCTTGTTCGTTCAAAGTATAAGTCTCTTATTATCAAATGAAAAGTCAAAATTAATTAGTTGTTCATTAAGAAATTTATATTTAATATATTTCTTTTGTTTTACAAGTTCGACTTACAATCATTCAGCCAATATTAAGTTCAAATGTTGTTCCATTTTCATATCTTTGATAGATTCATAAATTGATGAATTTTCTCATGCTGAATTGTGAGTAGAGACAGATGAGGGACAAATATTTACGAACTTTTTGATGAGAAATTACAACAACTAATTTTCACTTTTTATAATAAGAGACTTATACTCTAAAGGAGCAAAAAGTTCTGTTCAATTGTTGATGTAAATGTAGATCTATTCAAATAAAACTATTTTCTTGTATTTCTTTAATTTGTTCTTCATATCAGGCTCATGTACCCAGCACGCATCTGTCATGTCATCTAACAATTGTAAAGGTATTCATTTTTTGAATTTTATGACAACAATATATATTTTCTAGAACGACATTGTCGATAATTTTTGTTGAGAATTAAATTCTCTATTGAATGTATTCATTACCGTATTTTAAAATCAATGTTCAAATGTCTGAAAGAATTCGTTCTGCTCCACCTGTTCGTATAATTTACATGATGTTAATAATTGTTGAGAGGTTGATAATGATGACTGATTACTAATAATAGTTTGTTTTCTTGTTGTCGATGATATTATACTTATTATAGTAGAAGAAATAAATATGATAGACTGATTATTAAGTCTTCCTGATTCACCTTCAATGAAATTTATATGAAAATAAAATCAATAGATTTCTTGTTAATATTATTCACCGACGATCTCACAAAGAAATGGTTGTATATTTGTTGATAAAAGTGAAACAAGACATGTATCACTTGAATCATCCCATCGTTTCAACGCTTGAAAAGTTCTGTTTATTGTTTCATGTTGTTCCCATGCTGGTTCAGCTGGATATAGTATTAAATCCCAATGTTTTTCTTTACACCACATTGGACTAGTACTTTCATATGTTTTAGAATAATTATTTCCCCAATGATAGATCCATTCTATATAAAAGAAAACTATTTTGTTATTATTTTAATGGTGTATAAGATGACGGCAATTCAAAATTTAAGCAATATTCTTTTTGTCATAGTTGGATGGAGTTTTTCGAGTTACCTAAGAAATATTGTTTTTAACATTTTCAGACGATGTTTGTGTAGTGAAACTTAAGAAAGTTAGATTTAAAAAAAATGAGAAAAGCCTATAAATATTGAAATATGCCAAATATATCAAGCATCAATAGTCTCAATATCTATCCAAGTTCCTTGTTTTTTGATTTTACTCTTAATATAGTTAGGAAAAACTTAATGCCTGCATTTCGAGATCAAAATTTCAGCTTGAGCAAAAAAAAACGAATATCATATTCAGAATCAACACAAAAATCTGCATCGAATAGCATACTAAATAGTCAGAGCTAATTTTCGTCAAATTCCTGTTCTGACCTTCCTTCACTGTTGTTTTCGATTAACCTGATCTGTCGTTCACAGTAGATATAATATCTATAGAGCACGTGGACATGACTTATTTTCTGTCAAAAACGCATTTTTTTCATCGAAATATTAATTTCGAGTACTCAACAAAAAAAAACCTAATGACAAAAATATGAAATTCGTACAAAAGTTTTAATGCTGAAAGTTTCTTAATAAGAAACTGTTTTCTATCATATGGAAAAAAATTGATTTTCTCAATCATTAAACAATGTTTTCTTTTAACCATATCAAAAGTAAAATCAAAAAACAATTGGATAAATATTGAGATTACGAAGACCGAGTACGTTTGGT